ATTTCTTGATGTCCTAATTGATTACTGTCAGGTGAAATGCAACTGCAATTTTTTGTTTTCCCTCCAGTATTTGACTACATTCAACTGTATTTCACATGTTACAGCACAATTCAATCAAAATAATTCTTTTTTAAAAATGTCTTCATCTCCCACTTTGATATGGAAAAAGATACATTGATCAATCTAGACTAATAGTTTTCCCAAATTCTCTTTTTCAGGGCAAAAATACTTACATTTTGATTTTAAAGGCAGGAAAGTAATTGAGATAGTAAACTGATGCCTGAGTTATTCCTTTAGCTTGAAAATTGATTAGAGAATATTCTGCTCTATGTAAGATATTAACATCTGAAGAAAAAGGCTAGTCTGAATCTCATGTTCTTGATGTGTCATTTTTCCTCTCAGTGCAGATTTTTTTAAAATTTTTTATATGGTGGAACATTGACTTGATTGAGTCCCTGCTTACAAATAAAAGTGAGATAATTCTGATGCAGGTTTACCATTAGAGTAAAAATTAGACCTTAATTTGTATAAATTTCTAACAAGAGATCTTGTGTTCTTTTGGAATTTAGTCCCTGGCTCATGTTATTTGTTGTAAAATCCCTTGTTGGCCATGTCTGACATTACCATCATTGAATCATAGCAGTATAATTTAATTGATTGATCACACTTTTTCAACACAGAGAAACTTTTGTCTCTAGCAGTACTGAGGTTTTTTTGATGCTCTTTTTAGAAAGCTACAAGCAAATTGCAGTTTATAGGGTGAGAAAGTAAAACAGAAAGTTACTACAAATGCAAATAGCCAAAGAGATTGCAAAAAAAAACCAAACAAGGTATGAAAATGACCTTTTTGTGTAAAGGTACTATAGAATATCCGATGTTGCATTACTCAAAAGAAACTCAAACAATGAGGTTAAGAAAGATTTACATTTGAAACAAATGGACAAAATGAAGTTGCATATATGTATGTAGTTTTCCTATTCAGCAAGATTACCTGTAAACTCTTAATCTACATTTAGAATACAAGAATCTAAGATTTTTACTACTCATAACACCCAGATTTATTGGTACAGATTTTATTGCACATGACCTAAAGTTGCTCTTTGAAGGAGCTGGGCAGTTTAGAAATGTAATGAATAAATAAAAATAAATAAATTTATGTGACAACTAGAACAAAAGAGGGAAAGAGTAAGGATCAGCAAGAATTACAGTAGTACAGAAGTAAAACCTTGATTTAATGGACTAATAGGGTACCTATTAAAAGAGAAAGTTTATTAAATTTAAATGGAATTTAAAATATTTTACCCATGAGTAAAATAGGAATAAGACTTCATGCAGAAATGGTGAATGAGATTTTACAGAAGCACAGACACATGTTGTCCATTGCACCTGAAGTCTGCTAAATTGAAGTCTGTTTAAAGGAGTTTACTTTAGGAGCAAAACCTTCTAAAGTAGTCGTCCTCTTCCTTTTCTGGGTTTCAAAGAAAGAGTTCGGTTCCTTGGTCAGTCTTCTTGAATCAAATGTGATGTCTTTTGTTCTTGTTGGTGTGCCCCCAAATCTTGCTATTCACTGCTTGTCTAATTAGAAACAGCTGACAAAAAGTTAAAAGGAGAAGAACAAATAAAATAAAAGAACTGGAAGTAGGAGCCAAAGAAGAATTGGGAAGAAAACAAACCTAGTGAGAATCACATTAGAGGCTATGCTGTTTGGCAAACTTGTACAAAAAATCTGCAGCCTTGAACAGTATAGTTAAGACAGCTGGAATGTGAGTGCTTCCGACTCACATGAGGTTGAGGTTCATATTTAATGAATCCAAATGATAGTTTATTTCTGTTTAAGAAGCCTCAAAGTTTCATGGCAAGTTATCAGGCCCAAGTCCAGCTAAAAAAAGATGAGATCCAATCAAATCAGCCTTTATTTGCTTCAATCTAATAAACAGAATCTTGCCAAACTAAAGCTATAATCTTCTAACCTTCTCAATATATGCAATAAGGGGTGTGGTTATCCTGAATCTCTTCCTCTCAGCCCCATCCAACGCAGTCTCTTGATTTGGGTCTCCTGGGAAACCTCTGAGTTGGCAAAGTCTTCCTCCTCTGCTACTGCAGGTGCACATTCCATCACACCCACATAGCGATCGCCTTTATATGAACAAGGTTTTTAATTTTATATATTTAATTAGGAAGTTCCTCTGTATCATTACAACAAAATTACAGCTACTGTCCGGATGGCATATATGGAACAAGTCAGACTGAGTAGACCTTTCAAAGACATTACTACTGTATATACTGTATATGGGGTGCTATTTCTGCTACATGCCTGCAGAAAGGGAATGAAACCTTGGGAGAGAGAGAGAGAGAATCAAACTGTCAGCTATAAAGTTTGTCACCAATAAAACCAGAAGTTCTGTGTTTCAATGCCACTGTATACAATAAATTGGCAATTCACACCCTGAAAGATAATAGAGAGTTGTGGATATATAGAAATGCTTTTATATCACCAACCTTATAATATGTAGAATATCAACAAATTCAAATTAGGGATGTATAAATTAGTTTCAGGAATTTCTATCAAGCCTAGAATTTTTCTGATGCATGACCCTTCATGCTTATTATATGTTTATAATTATATGTGGCAAATTCTTCCAATTTTTTTTAAAATCCCACTCCCCTAATTTTAGGACTTGGATTCATCTAATCAAACTAACACTTACACACCAAAAGCATGCAAATTAATTGCAGATTCTTGATTGACAGCCATGAGTGTGATTTTGGATAAGAATGCTTGATTCTCTGAATATTTACTCTGAATCTCTTTACTTATAGTCAGGGGTGGGATTCTACCGGTTCTGTCCACTTCTGTGTCTTCTATGTCTGCTGCTATTTTGGCCTACCCGCCCGCCCGGGCTCTTACCTGACTTTTATTTCCTGCTTTTTCAACCGCAGCTGCTTTGTGGGACACAGCTGTAGTTGAAAAAGCAGGGGAAAAGGGCTTTTCCAACCGCTGCACACTTGCACGCAGCACTGCTCAGCTGTCCAGGCAGCTCAGCAGGTCGTAAATAGCACTCGCGTGACTTGCGCATGCGATGCAGAGTGACAGAACCGGTAGTTATACTGGTCGGATCCCATCCCTGCTTATAGTAAAGCCTTCTGAATGCAATCCACGTTACTCTTAAGCTGGTTCTCAGAAGGTTTTTATCAGTATTCAAAGAAATGAAACACTCAGCTGTGAATACGTGAGATGTGATTCTGCCTTTGAGCTCTGGCAGTTGCAACATCTGCTTTGTAAGGCTGATAATGAGAGCTCACACTTAAATCACAGACATGGAAAGATTTTAAAAGATGTAAAAGGATTGTATTTCCAAAGCCGAGAGCTGAACAGACTCTTCTTCTCAGGGACCACCTCGGTTCAATCACAAATTCTTGTCCCATCAGGTCTGGCAGGAGGGGCATGCTTGGATTCTATTAGGCCCCCAAGAAGAGAGCCTTTTCTGTCATCGTCCTTGCCTTTTCAAGCATCACCTCTTGCACGTTAAATTGACTCCCAACCCTTCTAGCTTTCCGTATGGCCCTAAAAATGTCATTTTGCAACAGGCACAGGGATCTGGGAGCATGCTACTGCTTGTGCTATGGCTATATTGATGGATGCTGGACTGCCTCAGCCATGAATATGTAGTATGTTTTTTGAGTTATTTTTATTGTTCTTAAATTGCTCTGTTGTTTTGATGTTTTTATACTGTTTTTTAAGTTATACTGTTTTTTAAATTGTGGGCTGCAGAAAATCATCTATTTGAGATGGGAGGCTGTAGAAACTGAAATAATCAACCAGCAAACACTGGAGTTGAAGGACAAGTAAAAGAAGTTGGGGGAACTTGGGCTTTTCCATTTTTACCTGTCCCATTAGGTCAACATGGGCAGTCCAACTGAGGCTTTGGCTACAGAATGAGCAATGGAGACCTTAGATCAGGGTGGGAAACTATGTCCCCTTCATGACCTGTGGACTTTAACTCTCTGATGCTGGCTCAATAATTCTGGGAGTTGATGTCCACAGGTCATAAAGGGGACATAGTTACCCACCCCTAACTTAGACACTAATATTGCAGGATCCCAGAAGCATATGGCAGCCTGAGCCCCTGCTGTCTGGAATGACATTCCCACAGAGATCCATAATGTTCTCATCCTTAATGACTTTCCCAAAATTATTAAACACCTGGTTGTTTCCCCAAGCATTGCGATAAGAAGATTGTGGTTTGTTTTTGCTGCTTTTTGTTTTTGTTTTTGAGTTAGCCTTCTGGTCAGCTGTGTCTTTTTTAGTTTTTTTTTTCTTATTTTATTTGTAAGCCATCTAAAGTCATTGAGGAGTTAGATAGCCTCAAAATTGAACAATAAATATGTACTTTTTGATTAGGATTTCCAGGGGTTTTTTTTAACTAATAGATTTCATGACTGAAAAAAACTGTAAAACCCTGAGTGAACTCACATAAAGTTTTGAAGAACTGGGTTCTCTAGTGTAAAGAATTTTTCAACCTGATAATTCTCAGGATAAAATACTGATTCCCCCCCCCCCCCCCCACCCCCCCCCGTACAAATGCTTTGCTTTCTTTTTAAATAAATTTATTTCATCCTTAACTAAGAAAAGTAGAGTTAAATTAGAATCACAATTATGGGCATGTTGATGGTTTTTTTTTTCATTTTCAAATGTATGTTTTTATTTCGCAGTAGATACAGGATTAAGTTATATATAGATAGGGTGATTTTAGTTTGCATTAATTTGCTGGGTAATATCCCTGTAAAATTAAGAAGCTGGCAATTGATGCATTTTATATTTTAATGAGCGCCTACAAGACATGTGTATTTTTCAAAAGCAAAAACAGAATTCATATTTTTAAAATTGTCCATTTTTAAAGACCTGTTGTTATTTTTTATTTGTATTTTTTGATATTTTTGTTGTTTAATGTTTAATGTTAATGTTGCTGTTTAATGACCTGTTGTTATTTTTTTTCCAGGTATATACATACAAACAGAGATCACTTACACACCAAAAAGTTACACCTATGCTGCCTACAAGCACAGATGGTCTGGAAGATATGGCAGCGCTGATAGATCTCCATGAGGGTGCAATCATGTATAATTTATTCCAGCGATATCAACAAGACAAAATCTATGTAAGTGCTTAGAAGAGCAGAATAAGACATTAATATTTTTCATGAAAGATCATGTTAATCTAGCACTAAGAAAATTTCCTTTCTAGGGTATATGATGTAAATATGGTGTAAGGTATATGGCAATTTGGTAGAAATGATTCCTTAATACTGTTGCTTACCCCAATAGATGAACAGCCATTTTAGGCTATTCAGATGGAGACATTTTGTCTAGCCTTATTTCTCAGTCTAGAATGGTGAAATTGTTTATTTTTATTTTTTTTAGTAATATGCTTACAAATCAGTTCATATTAATGCTAAAAACTAGGATTGTTATGTCGGTGAAAAGCAACAGGTGTTTTTTGTTTTTTTGTTTGGTTAGCCTCTACCCTGATATCCCCACTTCAAGAAGATGGAGTATAATTCTTTATTCAAAGATATGACTATAATTCTCAGATAATTCAACTAAAATTCCATTAATTTTGAATAGCACTTCTCCTCATTCAAGGTATTTCTTTCAAGCCCATTTGTACATGATGGTAGAATGCATCCTATGTTCAGATACTAGATCAGTACTGTTCTTGTTATTTGATGGTTAGATTTCCATAAACAATATTTGGATGCTATTCTGATATGTACTGTATTTTTTGCTTTATAAGATGCACTCCTCCTCTAAAAAGTGGGTGGAAATGTCTGTGCATCAGTGCTGGTCCTTTGGTAAATAGCAGCTGGGCCAGAACAGCAGGGTCCTTTTACAGTGCTGAATCCCGCCTCTTCTGTCTTTGTCATTGCCCACCTCTTCTGTCTCTTTTCCGCAGAGCAGGAGTCAATAGGCAGAGCTGGCACATGAGAGGACACCTATCTCTGGTCTTCTCAGGCTTTGCCTGATTTCCCCCCCCCCCCCCCCCTTGTTTTCCTCTTCTAAACCTAGGTGCGTCTTATGGTCGGATGTGTCTTATAGTACGAAAAATACGGTAATTCCTAGTCTTGAAAATATTAGATTTCCATAGACAATATTTGGATGCTACTCTGAAATAACAATAGCACTTAGACATATATACTGCTTTATAGTGCTTTATAGCCCTCCCTAAGCAGTTTACAGAGTCAGCATATTGCCCCCAAATATAAATTGCTAAGACTGTTATTTGAGATACTTCATCTAAAGTAAAGAAAGTTGTCTACATCATAAGGTAAAGACTGTAATTTTTTTGACATTCAAAAGCCTGGTTCCAAAATTAGATGTGCTAGCAGTATGGTGGTTACGTGGCTTGCTTTATCAAAGACAGTGTGTCTGAAAAGTACTGTAGAAGTTACTCTTTCATGAGATAGTTGCACTTTACACAGAAAATTTTTTGGGAAAGAGAACTTAAAACCACATAAGTACATATACGATATAGTTAAAAGGCAAGGGTAGTCTAATTATGGTGTTAAGAATTGGCTCAGAATGTATTTGTTTCCCACAGATTGCAGACTGTCAGCTGGTTTGGATAAATACAAGCTGAAATGAGGTCAAAACAGCATGAAAGAAAGTGATTGAAACAAGTTTATGCTAGAGCTAAAAATAAAAATGATTAATAAATTTTGGAAATGAACCTCTGTGATTCAAGCCAAAAGCATTGCCTTTTAGCACATATATTATTTTAGGCATAACTAAGAGGTTAATGAAGGTTTTACCACATGGAACAGTTTTATCAATGAGGAATTTTATCTCATTACTAATGTGATGAAAGAGTTCCCTCCTATTTGTGATAATTGATTTCTTTTTAGAGGTAATAATTTTAAGATAGCTTTGTTTTTAATGTGTGCCTACAGGTGAAACTCGAAAAATTAGAATATCATGCAAAAGTTCATATATTTCAGTAATACAACTTAAAAGGTGAAACTAATATATGAGATAGACTCATTACATGCAAAGCAAGATAGTTCAAGCCGTGATTTGTCATAATTGAGATGATCATGGCTTACAGCTCATGAAAACCCCAAATCCACAATCTCAGAAAATTAGCATATTGTGAAAAGGTTCAATATTCTAGGCTCAAAGTGTCCCACTCTAATCAGCTAATGAAGCCATAACACCTGCAAAGGGTTCCTGAGCCTTTAAATGGTCTCTCAGTCTGGTTCAGTGGGAAGCACAATGATGGGAAAGACTGCTGACCTGACAGACAGTTGTACAGAAAACCATCATTGACACCCTCCATAAGGAGGGAAAGCCTCAAAAGGTAATTGCAAAAGAAGTTGGATGTTACCAAACTTTTGCATGATATTCTAATTTTTTGAGTTTCACCTGTAGTTCTCAATGCCTAAAAGAAAAATAGAGTTGAGCATTTAAAGTATGATTATAAGCAGATAACAGACCAAATGCTGCCACAGTTTGCATTTTGAATGAGATTTTTCCTATATACTATTTGTTTTGTCTAGTGGATATTCCTGAAGGAAAACTCAGGAAATAGGCAGAGAACCTAAGAAAAGATTTTAAGAGATATCAAGGCCTAAGTGTGATAGTAAAGGGATAGTTAAGAGAAGAAGAGATAGAAAAAAAGAAAGTGACCTAGATCAAAGGAAGAACAAATGGTAAACAATGCCCATTTTATTTCTCTATACATTCCTACTTTTTATGGCTGTTTTGTCCATTGCACTAATTTTATTTAAACATTCTAGGTAGTACTGTATTTGGATGATTTGTTTTATATCCCAGAACTAATGAAACTTGTTTTAGTATAGCATGTTTAGAATAATATATAGAACAGTTATCATCAACTTTAACTAGATCTCCATTTGCTTTATATCTTTGTTTTGGTTCAATACACTCTTCTAATAACACTTGATCCATCTAATTATGGAATGCTTTTCAATCTAGTTTTATTCTCAAGAGAGATCTTTCAGGGATCTAATGACTATATATTAATGATAAATTAAAGAATGAATTGTTTTATTCTCTTTTGGCTTCTAGCCAAATGCAAAAAAAGCATTGTAGACATTCCGACCTTTGTTATCTTAATCTGCTAAATTTTGTTTTAGAAGTATCCATATTCTAGATACTGGTTTTGGCATACTAATTCTGATTTACAAGTGAGCTTAAATCCATTTAATATTTTGGAAGCCATAATTAAATGTGGATGATGGGTGATTTACCTATGACAAAAGTAGAGGCTAGTCATCTCTCAGATATTCTGATCTTCCAAGGAATGAGAAACCACCAGGCATATATAGCGATTTTAGTCTATACTCATTAGAAACCACTATGTGTTTTTCTCCTGGTTGTCTCTGCTTTTTCTTTAGATCAAGATAATTTTGCAGATATAAATGATCAAGGGGTTTAAATATATGACCTGTATCCTTATTTCCCATGACTTCATTTAAAATCTTGTGTCTGTATGTGTGCCTCTGTGTGCGTGCATGTATGTTTCGTTTTAGTTTTTGCCATAAAAACACATTCTCTGGCTGCAAGAGGTGCCCATTCTTTCATTTCTCAGTTTTTAGATCTGAAAGTATCACAAACAAAAAATGGAAATAACTTAATAAAATACATGCAGAGCAGAAAATAAGTAAGATGAGTCTAGCTCAGCTTTCTCCAAACTTTCCAGCTTTGTGGACCAGTAGGGATGGTTCTGTGCAAGCGGTGGGTGAGCATGTACACTTGTAGCATCTCTATTTGCACTTGCCCAGTGCATGCACAAGTGCAGCTGTGTGTGCACACACACACACATTGCTTCTTCGGACCAGTTCTGAAGGTGCAAGGGTTGGGAATCCTGGTAGGCCGTATTGTGCAACAGTGCCCTATCTCTTGAAATTGAGAATACAACAATATTTGCTATTTAGTTGACTGTCATATATTTGCAGGTGTGTGTGCTGCATTTCACCAAAATGTTCAAATAAATTATAAAGACACTTTCTTGAAATCCATTCTGTGTTTCCTGTGAAAGGAGATTTTTTTTCTTGAACAGTATTAATTTAATTTGTTTATAGAGGAATATTTTTAATACGTTGCACCTGCCATTTGCATAGCATCTTGTTATGAGATCACAACACATGATTAAATGATTGGGGAGATTTCTATAACAAATGATGTAACTACTATAGGTAGAAGCTTCTATAAACGTATAATCATATGTTAACCTATTGCTTTTAAGAAAAAATGTTTGACCTCAAACATTTAACGTATAATTTAGGGAGAGAATTGGACTCTATCCCTTACAAATTAGGTAAACAAATTAAGCATAAGGAATACTGAGTGTTGGTAAATCAAAGATACTTTGCATGCATGCAACCATAGATTATGACTCACTGTAGGATATAAATGAAGAAACAGCCTATGAAGTGTTGGGCTGCCTTACATATTTTTTTGTACTAACTTGTGTTCAGGGGCTGACCTACTTGGCTCACAAAAAATATGAGCTTGCAAAATGGAAAGCAACAGAGTGAGACAAAGTCAAACATACTGTGTCTCAGATTACAATGTAATTTGTTTTATCAGTAACGATTGGGTCAAATTGCTAAAGATGGACCTTCTGTTCTCTGTATTCAGACACAGATTGCAGAAACTCAGAAACAAGACATTACTTTGAATTCCTATGCTATTCTGTGGGTTCCCTAAAGGAATCTGGCTGACCACTACTTTTATTTTTACATTAAAAAGCACACTCTTCAACAACACCATATAATAAACTGCCTTTGAAATTCCACATTTGGCATGTTGCTTCTCTATGTTTGCATGTGTGTGTCTAGGCACATACTTTTCCAAAAACACAAACTAGACTTGGGTATGTTGAATTAGTTGAATGGTACTTTGGGTTGTGGCCAAAATCCTGAACTGGATGGACCTTTCTTTATATCCATCCACTGGGTATTTTTGAAAAATGTTTTTTGATGATATGTATCTTTGCCAATATTAAAATAAAGTTTTTAGTGATTCAAAGTTATAGCCTCGCTACCTTTTGAATAGGTTTGGCATTTAAGAGGTTTTGAGAGTTTGTCTAAAACATAAGTTCTACAGAATTTGAAAAGTGAGGTAACTGTAAAGTTACATGAAGGGTCTGTAAGAAACAAAATTTAGTTAAACTGTTTGTGGTTTAATATTTGCAAACGTTCAACTGAATACATTTCTTAATGTTTAATTCAATGAGCTAAATGGAAATCATGTAGCTAAACATTTTATTTATTACAATACAATTTTGATTCTTTGGACTTCCATTCAATTATCCTCTCATGCAAATGAATAAACTTTAGATGCATGAAATCACTTATTATGGTATCAGGATTTGGTGGGCATTTTCCTCCCACAGATACACAAGACAACAGATAATTGGACCACAGATAACAAGGACTGCCTGTATCTAGATGCTGACATTTTCCCATTTATTTTTAATTTAAATATTTAAGTTTAAAAAAAAACAATTTTTGGACAGGGAGCCTGACAAGAATCAATGAAGATGTTCACAGGCCTACCAGTGCCCACATCTTGCCTTTCCCAGCCCTTAGGCTTCTGCTGGAAAACATCTCAGAATAAGTTCTGGATTGTGCCTCACATCTTCTACTGCATTTTATAATCCTAGGCTGCCATTTTACCATATTTAACTTAAGAGTGAGCCATATTTAGTGAAAAGTTCTACATAGAATTGCTTTTACCAAACAATGTTAATTGTTTGTCTTTTTCAGTTGATGAAATCAAATTATCATCAGCCTTTGGGGATTTCCCCCCTTCAGAGTTGGGGATTTACTCTGCTTGTATATGCTAGGCCTTGTCAAGTCACCAAAATATCCCTCATTTTTTTTTCTTTCAGACTTACATTGGTTCCATTGTTGCCTCAGTTAACCCCTATAAGACTATCGCAGGTCTTTATGATCAGAGCACAATAGAACACTACAGCCGTCATCACCTGGGAGAGATTTCACCTCATATTTTTGCTATTGCTAATGAATGCTATCGCTGCCTATGGAAACGTCATGACAACCAGTGTGTTCTCATCAGGTATTTTGAATAATGAATTACTCCAGCTTTTGTTGCTGAATTGTGATTATATATGGAATTCTGCATTGTTGAATATGCTTAGTTCTTTTCTATAAGATCTCATTGAAAATGAAATACGTGAAGGTATAGCTTCATTACAGGATCCCAATCTCTTCTTGAAGACAAACATCTTCATATTTAATATATGTCATGTGGTCATTCAATAAAAACTATGTTTCTAGTTTTATATAGTTTATTTGGGTCAATTAACTTAGACTTCATTTCACTTTGAACACTTTGATTTTCTTATTGAGTCATGTCATGCTGTGCAGAAGATTAATTTGTCAACACTATTCATGAATAAGTACATTGATCAAAGAAAGACCTTTAAAAAACCTCATAAATAACAGCAGCAGTAATAAGGAAAATTCTTGAATGTACTGGTTGGTTTAATCTCCTTAATTCAGCTTGCTTATTTATTTTCTCTATTGTTTAACCTAACCTACACTTTTATTCAATGAGGATAAAATAGTATGTCACTAGATCCTAATGTTCAGTGGTTTTCTGAAGTATGACATTTCAGTTATTGTATTAATGAAATGTTGCACTTCAGTTCCCTACATGTGCTAGGACACATGACAGATCTTTATTTACTATCACTCATACTAGTAGCATGTCATGGATAGGGCTTTGGGAGAGCAGTTGATAGGGACAGTTGCCTTGGACTCCATGTTTTGAAGGGGTCTCATCTAAAAGAAGATTAATCAATTACAGTCTCAATAATTATTTCAGTGTTCTGGGTCTCCAGCAGGTCTTAATTTGCAGAACGCTCCTTCTCCTCCATGGGACTCCTCCCCAGTGTTCCCCAGTTTGGCTCAGCTTCGTAGGCAGTGCTTCTTGTTAATCCTTGGCTGAAACAGGAGAATTCTCTTTAAGGTTTGCAGATAGTCAATTGTTCCTTTCTTACCAACGTTGCCCTTGCCATCTGGCTGTTGGGGATCGCATTATCATGAAGTGCTCCTTGCGCTCCTAAGCGCATGGAGGCTTTGATTTCATTTCGTCCCCCAACTGCTAGCCCTACCCTTGCCATTACGATCGCTGAGCCTCTTTATCATTTAAACGGCGAGGCTTTTTTGCTCTCGCTCTCTCCTGAGTCGTATCGCAGTTTCTTTTTCCCCCGAAGAATGCTGTTTAGGGGTGGAGGTATAATTGCCTCGTTATTTCATCCCACCATGCTGGTTTAGCCCCAAGGGAAGGCTGTTGGAGCTTATCTCTTTTTCTCGGCGGGAGATTGCTGCTGGCGGGTGCGCCACAGATAACGTCTGGTCGCCTTTTTTTTTTTATTGTAAAGGGGCCGCGTTGAGTGCTAATTCAGTAGACTGTGTGAGGTAATCCTTATTCCGGATTGAAGGGGTTTTCTACACAAAATACCCCGAGGAATCATTACAACCTTGTTTCCAACATATTCGAGGCTTTTGTTAATTTATGTTGTTGGCTCAACCCTCAGAGTTCTCCCTATCCAGCGGCACAACAATGAGCACCTAGGCCAGCGTCCGCCTGTGCAGGGAAGCTGTTGAAGGCCTGTGAGTGATTATTTGGCCTGCTAGGCGTTCTCAATTTGGCTGATTGGGACATCCAAATTTGATATATATTTGCATACCCATACGCTCTGATAATATTAATCATACCAATATAATAATACTGGCAATTTCATAACAATAATAAATTATTTGTTGACATACAACTCAATTTTGAAGCAGATATTCATATTTAAAACAAAAAATGGGGGATTTCATTTCAGGACACCCTGTCCATTCTTGGCCAAGTCCCTGGGTGTGCCAACCGCCTACACAATATAGCATTAAATAACGAGCGTACTGGTCCTTCCACAATCAGAATGGCAGGGGGTAGTGGTTCACACTCCTCAACTTCAAGGGGCAAGTCCAAATCTCAACACAATCCTAAGCAAAAAAAAGGGACTTCTAAGGCATCAGAAAAGGATGCCAACAGGTGCCACAAGGCACTGGAAAAACAAATAGATAAGTGCACAAGGGAGGCACACAGGACCTCTCAAGCCTTCTCACCCCACAGTCCAGAGCTGTCCTCCTCTTTCCTCCCTCCTACCCCCTAGATCTCTCCCTCTCATCCAGGTGCAGCATGGCTCCCCTGAGTCAACAAGCCCAGTCAGCTCAATCACCAACCATGCAAAGAATACCCGAAGCGACATTCACACCAACGGCTGCCGGTCTTTGATAGGAACAATCTCTTCCAGACGATGTGAGAATGAAGACCTGGATGGAGATGGCTATGTGTCAGGGAATCGCAGCAGGCCTGCAACATGCAGTTCTGACCAGGGATCATCCCGTACCCGCTGAGTATGATTTGCAATCAGTTCGGTCATTGGCCAGGTCAGAGCTACACTATACCCAGGTACAGTGTCAAGGGGATATGCTCCTACAGGAGCCGCAGGATGAGGAGCAGGAGGACGAGGCGGAAGAGGTGGAACACATTGAGCACATGGACCAGAGTGAATCAGAATCAATGCATGATACTGACCCGGCCATGTCGGAAGCAGACCCCCTTAGAAAGGGGGATTTCTGAGATGAGGGCCTCGTTCCCAACCAACCTGTATTTACAGGGTTGTTCCGGCCACAACTTATCAAATCTCTATTGTTCAAGGCCAAAAATACTGCGCGACTGGACAAGCCACTCCAACTCAGACGAGGGACCAGAGGATCTCATTTTCACCCAACCTGTAGTTGAGGCAGATGTGACTCCAGTCCCTCACATGTTTGCAGACCTGGTACAGAAACAGTGGGCTTCTGCAGCACCCGGCCCCCACTGGTTACGACAGGAAATTCTTTAATTTGGCCCCAGATTTTTTAAAATTGTTGAATACTCCTGAGGTAAATGAACCCATTGTGAGATTAGCATCCTCGTCCTCCATTCCCAGTGAGGCGCTGGAGGCATTAAAGCCGGAGGACAAACAGGCCGAGCTAGGCCTACGCAGGGCCCATCAGTCTGATGCGTGGGCCATCAGAGCGGCCATGGCCGCTTCCTTCTTTACCCATTCTTCCCTTAGATGTCTCCGGCTATTACGGGAGCATGTCCCCAATTCCAACACTAGAGCACATCAAGACATTGCAAAGCTTATAACAGCCACCGAATTCTCAGCTGACACAACCTTTCATGCAGTTAAGTTTTCAGCCAGAGCCATCACTTCACATGTCACAGCACGACGCTTGCTATGGTTAAAGAATTGGCAAGCGGATATTAAACATAAATGCAAGTTCGCTTCACCTCCTCTAGTGGGAGACAGACTGTTTGGCCCTTCCCTCAATCGGCTACTCATCGAGACTCGAAACAAAAAGAAAATTTTACCCTCCCTTTTTTGGAAGTCAGACCCTAGAAACCCTCACTCCTTTTGGAGGGGATCCTTTCAGCCCTTTTATCAGGGACCGTTCCCAACCAAATACCAGAGACCCCCACCTTTCCGACCAGGGCAACAGCCAGAGAGGTCAGACTTTGGGGATAGGAACAGAAGGGGTGGCCAACCCAAGAAATCCTTCCGAGGAGCAGAAAATAGATTTTTCTGGCGTCCAAGATAACCCCATGGACCCGGCTCACATTGGTGGCCACCTTAAATTATTTGGGGACCAATGGGACTCCTCAACGTCTGATTCCTGGGTCAGAGACACGATCAGATTCGGCCTCGCACTGGAGTTTCAGTCCGCCCCCCCAAACTTCTTTATGTCGTGCCTTCTTTCCAGAGATCTGGTTAAACGAAATCTTATGGAAACAGCTATTCAGCACCTACTGGACATACGAGCCATCCAACCAGTAGCTACCGACCAACGAGGGCAAGTTTTCTATTCACATCTTTTCATTGTTCCCAAAAGTTCAGGGGGGGTGGAGAGCAATCTTGGATTTGAAACGCCTTAATCAATTTTTAGTATGTTGCAAATTTAAAATGCACACCCTACAATCTATCTTACTTGGTATCAGAAAAGGCGACGTCCTTACATCTATAGTTCTGATGGAGGCGTACGTACATATTCCAATTTGGCCTTCACACTATAAATTTTTATGATTCTGTTATAATAATCTCCATTTTGAATATGTGGCTCTTCCCTTCGGACTAGCCTCTGCCCCCAGGACCTTCACAAAGGTTCTCGTAGCCCTTGCTGCTCATCTCTGGGGTGTCCCCATAGGACTGCAGTGTTACCTCGATGGTATCTTAATTTTGTCATCTTCTGTTCATCAATCAGTCATAGATACTCAGACCACATTACACTCCCTACAACAACATGGGTTCTCAATAAATTGGAAAAAGAATCATTTAAGACCTTTGACTCGATTAATCCATCTGGGGGCAGTCATAGATACAGTGGAAGGCAAAGTTTTCCTGTCACCAGATAGACAAAACAGCATTCATCAATTAGTTAAGGAGGTCAGGGTTCATAGGAGGGTGTCCCCAGCTGATCTATCAAAATTGTTAGGCAAGATGATCTCATGTATATCTATTATTTCTTGGGCCCGGCTCCACACTAGATCCCTCCAGTGGTTCCTGCTCCCGTACCAGCGATCAGACCGAAGCAACTCCAAATACAAGGTCAAAGTTCCATCACAGGTCCTCATATCTCTCCTCTGGTGGACCAGACCAGCCATAAACAAAGGTTGCCTATTCAAAAAGCCCCACAGATTTAACATCACCACCGATGCCAGCCTGATTGGTTGGGGAGCTCACTTTCAATTGCTCACAGCCCAAAGCCGCTGGTCCTCCATAGAACGATCGCGCAGCATAAACTGGCTGGAGCTTCGAGCAGTACATCTGGCTCTCCGCAACTTCCTTCCACAGGTACGCAACCAACACATATTAATATTGACTGACAACGTAACCATGAAAGCTCACATAAACAAACAGGGGGGAACTCAGTCGAAACACCTCATGAGAGAAGCGGAGTGTTTGTGTTATTGGGCAGAGAACAACCTGATTTCCATCAGAGCAGAACACATTTCAG